ATTGGACATTTGGGAAGCACGGATCACTTTTCTGATCGATCACTCTTTTAAAACTCCTTTAAAGTGTGTGTTAAAGGTTTTTTAAACACAAACCTTGGTGAATCTTTATAGTAGTTTTACAATATGGTGAAAAAACTGAAATGTTCTAAAGACGTACAAGAAGTAAGGCTGTATTCTTAAATCAAATCTCACCATTGATGTCCTCCAATTCAAAGACAATTGAAAGAAAAGGCAACTACACTTCTGCCCAGGACGAAACACAAACGATTATAGTTTGGCGTTTGGGAATAAGCTCCTAAAATAAAGCGTCATTAGATTCTTTATGATTAAATGTGTATGTCGTCACCTAGTCTTGGTGTTTGATTCAGTTTCCTAAATCCTTACATCCACTAAACTACTTTGCTTTACTCCAAAACAGTAATTATGAAGATTAATATTTATTGAAAGAAACACAAGTCATAGTAGAGACCCATTTAGATTATTTAGTCTATTCTGAATTCCATGTCATTCATCATGAAACAAATAAAAGGACATTGTACAAAGTATGCACCCGAGTCATTTAGCTAGCTGGTTAGCGAGGACACATTAGTTGGACTCTTTTAGAAATGTCTGAAGCCAAAATAGTCCTCCACTTTCTTTTTGTCGTTTACTCCATGATAATAATCTATAGATGCAAGTTTTGCTAATGTCTGATTAGATTTTATATAAAGTATAACAAAATATTACAACAGAGGGTAAAATAGATGACATAAGCAAGATAATAATGAATCCAAAGCACTCTCACCTAATGAGGTCACATTTCGAGCTGTGCGACATCACAAGCTCCCGTTGGATGACAAGAGGATACCATGAAGATTTGGTATAAACAGTACGATTTTAACTTTGTTTCACAAAAAAATGCACCAAAGTTGATGCTAAGAAGTAGAAGCAGTCTCCGTGGAGATAGGACTCCAATCCCACACATTACCAAGTACAAGTCAACTCTGGGGTCGAGTCCACCGATGTTAGAAGGAAACGCAAACACGCCAATTGACTTAAAATGTGGGTTTACTTTTCTGCATTTTAATGAGAAATATTTGTCAACATTTGAGCTGAAGCGAGTGGAGTACGTTTAAAGTAACAGTGATACTGCAGGAACTACTGAGCAAAACAGCTCAATGAGTAGATGGATTGGAGCAGGAAACTTGCACTTAGAGCCACTTAGTAACTTGTGTTACATAGGAACCTATATGAAAATCATATCAACTTTATATACATTAATCAGACTTTACTGCACTAGTAGAATTAGGTCTTTTAGGGCTGCAAATATCCATTTGAAAATAGATTAATCCAGATATTCTTCCTTCAATTAATGATAACTTGGAACATGGCTGTGATTTTTATCTAAATTTGACTCCAAAAACACAGTTTTGGGCAATATACTCTTTGCGGTAATACGGTACATTTTGTGTGTTTTTATGTGCAGACACTGGTGTTTCCCTTTGGTCCTTTTGGTGTGCAGAAACAGCACAGTTGTACCAGAGAAAACAAGCTGCATCCTTTCTCAAGTTGTGCAAAACTTTTGTCACGGTAAACTGGGTAGGCAGTTACTCCGCTAAATGTGTTGATTTAAACCTGGACGGTGCGAGACTATTGTGACGTTTTGAGATCAATTAGATTTATTACTTAGATAGGCCGCATCACCCAGGTATAAATACCTAAAAAATGATCAAATAAAATGGACAAACCTGAGAAAAGTAGATTTCAGGTTATGTCCCTTTAAGCAAAGCTGAGTACATTCAATAGAAAATAATCCCAGTCAAAACTGTTGTAACTGAATGGGCACATGTATGCTTTCGACTTATTATTCTGAGTCTGGCTATGCTGAAGACTTTAAATAAAAGCGTTAACGATTAATCAATAACTAAGATAGTTGAGTATTGAAAGAACGATTAATTCAGCTCTACTATTCTCCGTACTCTGTTGATTTGGAAATTACCAATCTGGGTTTCCGATTCTTTATTTCTTTGAACAAAGTATTGTTAAACAAAATAAACTTCTAGAACCGTTAAAGGCAAGGACACATGGGTAAGAGGTAAAGACCAATGCAATCTAATCCACATGGTATCTAACAGACTGGACATTGCCATCTCTGGACCTTTGGCACAGTATCCAGGACTCATGATGGTCCTAGGGTCATTCAGAAGAAGTGTGCGTTTGTTTATGGTCTACATTCATGTGCTATCACAACATTCCAAAGAGCCTATAGTTTAACATTGTGGTTGAGGGCAGCTGGAAAATTTCAGGTATTGGAACCCGCTGTAAAACAATTCTACAACATAAGCCCAAACTATCGACAAGTTTTACTTCTACAAAAGTGACCAACTCCACTGTACATTCTGTAACAGTGTCCAGTCCATAGTAATGAGCTTTTTGTCTTAGGATTGTGCCACAGAAACAAAGTACTACAGCCATACAATAATTATATGAACTCCAAATTGACTGGAAAGAGTATAATAATTTCACTGCAAAGTTGCCTCATACTTGAAGCGGGATTTAGATATACTTTATTGATCCCCCATAGGAGAAATTCAAGTGTTCATCAGCTAAAAACTCAACAAAAGTTGAGTTTTTAGGTTACTGAAGTCCAGTTGTGTCCATATTTTCTGCTTATAAAGTGTGACACCAACATTTATCACAGCCCCCATCCTGATCTGACCTGTTAGCCTACCACTTGTTCCACCAAACTCCAGACAATCAAATGCTGACATATTTGAGAACATTATGAAGATGCATTGACACTTGAATTGGACTATGTTTAATCATTTTGACTGAAGTTTAAGTTTCAGTATGTTTCCATCCCTGGTACATCATAACTTTAGTCCAGGACTCCTTTGAAAGAGGTTCTTAATCTCAATGGAACTTTCCTGGTTAATTAAATGTTAAATAAAATTGTAAAAGGAGACTTCAGCCTAGACCATTATTTAGCATGAAAATTCTGAATACACACCATTTATTTTTTTATAGTATTGTAAAATGTATTAGACTTGAGAACATGTGACCTAAGATCTAATGTTCATTTGACCAAGGAAATAAACTATTAAAAGTCTGGTGAAAGCAGGTTGGGATAGGATTTGATCAAAACCTTCACCAGTTGAAAAGTTAGATTCAGCAGCTACCCGACTTTGCCACAAATGCTACAGAGGTCGTGAAGTACAATTGACCTTTGAAATTTTAGAACTGACGAGCACAACTTCATCTATGGTAAATGTCAACAGTCAGACCAAGTCTTAGTTTATAGCCAATCTATCAAACTCCGGAGCCAATCCCCATGAAGCAAAAACTAGCAGAGAAACACATCTTTGTCAGTGCATAAACTGTACCATTTTCCTCATAAAAAAGGTCTAGAAAGGACATTAAGACATAAAAATAAGGCGACTTCGTGAATCTAATCACTATGGAATAATGGACGGCATGGTGGCCTTTGTGTGTGGAATTTGCATGTTCTCCCTGTGTCTGCATAGGTTTCCTCCAGGTGCTCTGGTTTCCCATACCACAAAAAACATTTACAATGGGTCAGCGTGACTTAGTGTGTGAGTGTTACAACAGATGAGAATGTCCATTAATATGCACTGCCCCACCAAATACATTATTTGAAAGACAATTTCTGAAATAAAAAAAGTTATATTGGCAACTGTCCAACTGAAATAGAATCCTACAAAATGAACAAAATCTATTCAGGGTTTTGAGCTGTCGAAAAAGCGGTGCATTTAAATAAACCACCAGTTATTTGCATACTGAAGAACATTCCAAACAGTAATAACATGACAAAAATAGCGAAGCAGCAGAAATGTCGCACAGAGCACCTTTAATATTACACATCCCAAATAGACTAAGTTAAAACATCTAAAGTGCACATTAACCATATTTTGCCAAAATGATTTAGCTACAGTGTTTGCTCAGAGGACTGTCGCCTGGGACAGTCCACAGATATGGTTCTAGTAGACACTCGGGCCTCGGCTCGTGCCCTGCCCCCTGGATGTGGACCTGGTCTACAGGTCAGGGCCTCAGCTGTTCCTCTCCATCACTTTCTCACTTTAATGTCCATCTCTGGCACCCCTTCCCTGTGCTGTATAAACACATAGATTTAGTTTGCTTTGTAAATGACAGACTTGTTACAAACTTCAATGATTGGATCAAAAATAACCTAGATTTCAAAATGTCACTTAACGCTGTTCAAGGGGATGAGTCTCTGGTAAATGGTATGAATCTGGATTTTAGCAATTAAAACAATATCCAGCAGGGAGGCAACTACTGTGGCACATGAGGCCTACAGATACAAGAATCAGAACCATCAAATCATAACTGCAGATGGGATGTGACCTGGCCTTAAGCAAGTGGTTGTGGGGGCAATCAGTAGGTTAAACAAAGCGTGTTCAATCCAGTAGTGTTTCCTTGTGCTGAATACAAGTTTGATCCAGTTTAGCAGTGATTGGAGTGTGGTGGCCGCGCTTATGGATCAGTGTGACAGTGCAGTCCGACCCACATACTGTGTGCTGACGTCTTTGACATGTGATTTCTACATAAGTAGTCCCAAGCACAGGTAACTCTGAATGACACCAGACCATGGGCTGGGGAGGATTGCAAGCAGGGCAAATGTGTGAGCAGAGCATGGTGCAGGTGCGAGGCCGGTGTGAGGCCGGGGCTGGAGCTAAGCCTGGATCATGTCAGGGATCCACTCGGGGGCAGGGTAGGGGCTGGGGCTCATGCGGTACATGCATTGAAAGGGTGCTGCACACGCAGGTGAAGCCAAACAAAGGCCGAGTCAATGTGCAGAGGTGGATCAGTAAGGAGCCCAATGCATCTGCACCAGAGCAGGGATGGTTCTGTTCACTATGACACGGCCTCTGCTCACACCCGCACACGGCACACGGCTCTGAGGCAGCCTGACAGGGCAGTCCACAGGAGGCTGCAGCCTGCTCCATACGCTGCCCTGGTCAGAATATAAGCGGGCTGTGATCATGGGGAACATTAGTCTGAGAGCATCTGTGTGGAGCTCTGCTGGCGGGCCGCCTGAGTCACCGGTACCGGCCTGGGAACACCGTGTCGTGAGCCCATTACCACAGAATGAGCTGTGGTCAGTGCACTTACCTCAGGCGGTGTGTCGGTGCCTGTGCCGTGAAGCAGCCATGATCGGAACCAGCTCTCCCTCCCGTCCACCGCGAACACGTCCTTCTCCCGCTGCGGCCCCGGTCCTCACGGTGTGTCCCTGACACTACTCCCACACACGGCCGTAATCCCCCGGTGCCGTTGGCCAAAGCCCGGTGCGTGTGCACCGGGGTGTCGGAGGCTGTCACCGGCTCCTGTGGCGGTGAACGGCCGCTGACAGCTGCTGTGGCCCCGGTGTAGAGGCCCCTGTCCGTAGAGCCCGCAGCTCAGTCCGTGAGAGAAGAATCCAGCTGCTGCAGCTGCAGCAGCGACATGAACGACAGAAGGAACCAGCCCAGAGCTAGCCCAGAGCTAGCCCAGAGCTAGCATGCTAACGTCCACAAAGCGTCCATACAAGTCCGCGGTCAGAGGCAGGAGCTGCCACCGCTCCTGGAGGCTGTAGGTTTGACCACGACACTGACTGTAGGCGCAGAGGTGACGACTGAGGACGGCTGGGCACTAGGCAGCCCCTCTGTGGTGGTACCCGCGGTCACAGAAGAGGGGCTGCTCTGAGCGCACTCCCAGCGCGCTCCGAACACGGCTCCCACAAAATGGCCGCCATAGTCCTCCGCGCCAGCTCCAGAGAAGTGAGCAGAAGTGTGCTCAAGAGTGTCCAAGTGAGCTGAAGTGAGCCGAGGTGTGCCCAAGTGAGTGAAGTTAGCTTTGGCTCCACTTGTGTCGTGCCAAGAGCCACACACGCTTCACGGCGAAGACGTGCACTTATATGGTCTGGGATTATATACACGTCTGCCCGTCCCTTCTAACCTCATGCACATTTGCCACAGAAATACAGCCTTCTCTAATTGGATAAAACTCCCAAAAAGAAGCAGCAGGGGCCTGGGTAATGCACAAGCCTTGTCAGTGACCAGGCAAAAGGTGTGTCATTCTAGTCTGTGGCCAGGACGCACAAATCACTTTCCAATTAAATTTAAGCCCGTCATAAAAACTAATATATATCCACCATTCGCATCCCATGGTTCAGTTAAGAGACACTGATGCCCACCCTCCCATGCCCAGAAAACACAAAGTATAGCAGCTTCAATGTTTTTTTTAATATAGTCTGTACATTACATTTGCCAATCTCTGCTTCAAAATATAGAGACAGTCACACACAGCTGCATTATATGTAATAAAAGAGTTGACCAGATAATGAAAAAAAAAAAACAAGCAAAGACAATAAAAGCAATATACATGTCATAATTAAAATACAAACTCAAAGATCAGATAGGTAATCCCACTCTGTCCACATCACTTCTTCTGCTTTGGAGGTGGTCTGGGGAGGAAAAGAGATGTTTTAGACACACAAAACAAGTCTCCATCTACTAATATATACATAAATAAATAACATAGCATTAAAAACTAGCTAAAGACAGCCAGTGTTAGTTCATTCTCTATATGCAGGCGTGCTCTAACTCACAGTGGACACTAGAGGGCGCACCTCACCTTCACAGAGAGGAATCACAGAACTCATTGTTTAAGAAATGTAAGACTTGGATCTACATCAGTGCTTTATGATCCTAACATTTAAGAAAAATCAGGCATATGCCACAATAACGACTCATTTGGTAATGCGTTTTTGGGTTTGTTTTGTTAGTATCTAGATATTTGGCTGAAAGATACAAAAACATTTAATCAGACAATTGGAATAGTTATTAGAACGAAAAGGCGGCAATTATTAAAGTTCTAAATAAAACGTCTCAATCTTTAATGTATTCAAAGAGTACATGCAATTACCCTCAGACTTAAACAATTCAGGTCAGCCTCAGTGAAAATGTAACACTTTAAAATTCTCTTTGTCCAAAAAATGTTACTGGCTGGGCTGACTGCCAATAGAGAGATTGTGAGTGAGGGGGCTTCCATCTCATAGCTACAGACACCAAGTTATGACATTTGGAGGTCTCTACAAGGGCACTTTATTTTACAGTCCACCTGATTATATACAAACGCATACACACCCTGTACTTGTGTGTTACATGAATATTTTAAGCAGATTATCATTTTGGGAATAACTTCTAGCTGGTATATAGGAGGAATTTCTACTTCAGGGTGAATCATCAAGACTGTTGGTCCTGGTAATTGAAAATCATTCTGGTGACATGTGCCAGTCAAATAAGACCAGTTTTGTTCAAGGAGTGGAGAGGGCGTTTCTTTTTCCTATAATGTGGGAAAATCCTATATACACCTTTAATTCAGTGGCATAATGTAGTTTCAATCCTGACGCAATAAAGTCAAGCCAAGACACTGGTTTAACTACACTTTTAAAAAAGATATTTTGACATTTAAACACCACCCGATCTTTGACAAAGACTTTCCAATGAAATGAGGATCCAGGGTCCTGTTTGACATAGAATGAAACTACATTTAAGAGCAAAGTTAAGAGTACAAAAGTGCTGTATGATGCGTTACAGGGTACTTCATCTTGAGATAAGATTGAGATGAAATCGTTACTGGTCCCACAGCGGGGAAATGTCTGTTGCGTCACCAGTTACAGAACAGTAGGAATGAGGAGTACAAAGCAAAAGATAAGTGAACCATAACTGTGCTAAAAAACCTTACTTTGGCAGAAGAAGCAAGTATAAAATCTATAGATGGGTTAGATAATGAGGCACATCCCTTTGTTTTCAGCTCACTGCTAAAAAACTGGCTTCAAACAAGATTTTTCAAGCAAAGATGATCATATTGATGTAACAGGTACTTCCAATGAATCTTTAGTATACTGCACTGCAACTCATCCCCCTCGGTGGGACAAACAGGCGTTATCTTTATTATATGATGATCGATTTGTGGAAACTATTCCTTGGACTAATATGATAATTAGAACCATAGGGTATGTGACAAAGTGTATGACATGAATACTGGCTTTTTCATTTGGCTAAAGTTAGATTTTATTGTTCATTTCTCTTGTGCTGTGCTCATTCCTACGGTCTGTAACGGGTGATGCAACACTGACATTTACCCACGTTTGGATGAATAAAGGATCTCTTTTAGTTCTCCGAAAAAAGTCAGCTCACAGTGAATCCAGTCGAGACTCTATGGTAGAGTTATGACAGTGTTTGTATGATTAATAATCCTTCAAACACTTCTGTCGTGATCAAACCTGTAACGCAGGGGTCTCCAACCTGTGGCTCCGTCCCCTTTCAGGTGGCCCCCCAAAGGATTCAAGAATTTCAACACATGATCCTGAATGATTCACTTTTGAGGCTTTAGATCAGGGGTTTCAAACTCTGGTCAGGGGCCGATTAAAAAAAAATAGGAACTGGTGGGGGCCGAAACAATAGAAGAGATTTCCTTCTTCTATTAGTTACATATTTTAACATTACTTTAATGTGACACGAGTTTCACCGTTATTCCCTGGTTTATTTTTCTGAAAACATTTTATATTTGATCCAGTTTAAAAACATTTTATATTGAACTATTTAACTTCTAATCATGTGTCATTGGGTAAAAATGTTAGAATAAATTAAATGTGATTGTTTTCCGGAGAAAATGGATGTATAACCTGCCTTGGTCACCCATTACCATCAATGCTGCTAGTTCAGAATTTTAGGGGCCACTAAAAATTGTCTCACGGGCCGGATCTGGCCCCCAGGCCATGACTCGACACCCATGCTTTAGATCTTTTCATTAACGCAGGGAAGCTGTACGCAGTGGGCCAAATTTAACAAGATCTGATGAAGACAAGTATAAAAGTGGTACACAATTTGACAAATGAACAGTTTGGAGTAGAGTTTATTTTCTAGTAGGTTTGAACTCAACCCCAACTGGGCAAAATATAATAAGAAGTATTGGAAGACTTCACTTATAAGTTATATAGTTTTGACTTCTAATAACATTTTAGAACAGATACAATTATCTGAGGCAATAAGATTTAGAATGAAGTATAACATGCCATTTCCAGGGCCACTAACAATGGTCTTGCAGAGTCTGACACGTCAGCTGCACAGTATAATGGTATATTATATGTGTGTGTTCAGATTTGGCTGTAATCATAGACTACACTTGTTTCACTAAACAAGAAGCTCTGGACTTTGTTTAATAAAAGTAGCTCTCCAATGGAAAAGGTGTCCCCTTGATATGATCCAGAATAGTGCGTCCTGGTGCATACCTGTAGATGCCCACCACCACCGCATGGTCCCTCTCGTACGGCTCCAGGGTCAGCTGCTCCTGGGGCTTCATGTTCTCAGAGCTCATCTTCTTCACCTCAGCCGCAAACACTGCCTCAGGCGCCGCCGTCGAGTCGATGCAGTTGGCCTGGAAGAAGAGCGAGGAGAGTCAGACCATCAGTGTGCTGAAACTCTCGGATTCAGTCTGTCATCTGCAGTAAAACCACATAGGAATACATGCGCCAGAGTCCCCAGTGTGCACCAGACAAGTACATAAACAAGATTAAAAGTACAGAGACAATCAGTGAGAAACCAATCAATAAAAACAGCTTCAATACAAGATTAAAGTCAGACCAAGCACAGCTGAAAGAAGCCGTTAGCATGTCCAGATGTCCTGCAGCCAACGATATCTTCTACCAGACGGAAGAAGCTGGAACGTGGCTTTTCAAGGGGCTAGAAGTCAGTGATTATTCTAAAATCTGGATTTGAGTTCGGACTTATAAAGAACCTCCAGAACAGACAGCTCAGTCCCCTTTCAGAGCAGAGAACCTTTCTCTGTGATGCTGAACCACAGTCATAGATCCAACAAGCTAACTTTCAGTGATGCAAAGATTAAAGTGAAGCAGAACCTTTTAGTGTCATAAATTCTCCAAGTTTCAGCAGAAAGAAGAGACAAGACGATAATTCTTAACCTGAAGTGTTTTTGTCCCATTTCAGGTCATTAGAGTTTACCCAGAAACTTCACTCTTCTACAATCTGCACTTGGAAGCTTGATTTGCCACTGTATGCGTTTGTATTTGATAACTCCCAACAGTTTGGAACTTTTTGCTCTGTGGGCAGATGCCGAATCCATCAGTCAATTAGTTTAAGATTATACTTTGAGTCATCAATAGTCAATTTTCACAAAATTCTAATCTGATACTTTTCTTAATGTTCAGAAGAGTGGTCTGAACTTTTATGTATAAAAAGATACGGTTATAAACCATATTAATCATTGTGCTACCCTTGGGCCAAAATGACCCGCTACAGTGATGACCCAGGGCTGGTCCAAAAATCAACATTCAGCTAGAAAAAAAATCAGGGTATTTTTTGATCAGTCGGGTCAATTTGAGCGAGGATAGCACAAGGGGTTTCCTGTCCTTAGAAACCGTGTGTAGATTATAAACCCGTTTCCCATCATGCACCAGCTCACCTTTATGGAGATGACAAAGTGTCCACCATTTTTGAGAAAGTTGTGAGCGTTCAGAGCCACGATTCTGGTCTGGTCCGGCTGTGCCACGTCTGCGAAGATCACGTCCACCATACCTGGAAGAGAAGAGGAAGAGCGGTTAAATCAACCAAAAGAAAGTGAAGAAAAGTTAGCCACCTCCTCCGCTCATGTATCTGTATAAAGTAGTCAAACAAACACCGGTTTAAATAAAAACAGATTTAACAGCAGTGAAATGTTTATTGTGAAGCTACATGAGCGTCCATTGAGCAGGTCTGTGCACTAGTTGGATCAAGTTGTTTTAGACTTTTGCCACATTTATAATAGTACAATAGTAGAGATGCACATCATATTGGCCAATATGGTACTTTGTCATGTTAAAACAGGCCCATTCATTGTATTATTAGTGCAACAACTTAAGTTCAAACAAAAGGAGGCAGAACATTTTTATATACAACTATATTGACATTGGTAAACATCGGCTAAAACAGCATTCTAAAAGGTATATTTAAATATACGGAGGGTGTGTGTGCATGTATCTAAGAGTATACTACAGTATTCAGGTTAGTGGCTAGCAAGATCGGAGCAGTTTGATCGCTGCTAAACTTTAGCATGCCTGGGGGAAACGAGCCAAAACTTATAATTTTCATCCTGAATGGGGAGGAAGATTATTTGTCTTATCTGCAATGCAACGGTGGCATTGGCAAAGAAAACAAACCTGGAGCGTCAATTTCTAACAGTACACGCAAGCTATTAGAGGGATTTCCACACAAAAACAGCACTGCACGCCACTAAAGTGCAGGAGTTTAAAGGCCAGCCCTCTAGACAGTCTATTTTCACCAACCCAAAGACCCAGGGAAAAGCCACAAGAACACAAGAAGCCAGAGGTGTGGACTCGAGTCATGTGACTTGGACTCGAGTCAGACTCGAGTCATGATTTTGATGACTTTAGACTCGACTTGACCAAATATAAAAAGACTTGCAACTCGACTTGGACTTTAACATCAATAACTCTGACTTTCACTTGGACTTGCGCCAATTGACTTGCAAAGACTTGCGTAACCCGGGCCATTTTTACCTTTCTCCGCATCTCTCTTTCTATCTATGCCGTCTCTGAAGAAACAAAGCCTCGCGGTAGTTGTAGCGCTCGCGCGAGAGAGCTCGAACGTGAGTTCCCCGCAGTTCGCGCAGCAACACTTCCCTAAACAAGCGGACTGCATTCACCGGTGGGTGTGTTGTCTAGGGGAGCTGGAAATGAGCGAGCTGCAGGTATTTATCGCGACCTAACGTCATACTTTGTTCTACAAACCGTAATTGATATGCTTTCACTACAGGCGCCTCATACAATTGAATCGACGCAGTTGTCACACTGTGTGCCGTGTTTTAAAGAAGAACTGGTGAGTCAAACTAGCGCTAGCCTGCGCTGCTCTGTTGGCTCTTTCTTATATTTTTCTGTGTGGGCGCCGAGGCCTATTATTATGAGTATGTTTTTGCTGTGCTCCTCCTGCTAAAGTTTGCATACATTAGATAGTTGTTTTGATTATGTGCACTAAGCTAGATTAATATTTGCACTATTGTTTATGGTGCATTGATATAAGAATCAGTGCTTTGACTGATTGAATTAATTTATATGAGACATTTTATTATGTAATGATATATTGGTAATTATGAGATAAGGGACCCCTCCATTGGTCCCTTCAGTCCTTTGGAACAATAACCACTATGGACATTAAACTGATTATATAGATACAGGTCCTAGCCCAATACTCATATTCATATATGCTGCACTTGCTACTTCCCATTAAAAACCCCAAAGATAAAAAGTATGTTGACACGGACTGCTCTGATTTTATGTGTGGTCTGTGCATGTGTAACTTAGCCTGCATCTGGCACAACATAGTTTTGATTTACCAGCAGCCAACCACATGGAACAAACTGTTAGTCCATGGGTCAGAGACCAACGAGAATGCACCAGCAAAACGATTCCTAAGTACGTGGAGACCAACAAGAAACAAATCGCGGTCAAAAAGACTCGAGAGGACTCGAAAGTCAAACCGTAGGACTTGGGACTGACTTGAGATTTGTTGGCCTTTGACTTGGACTCGACTCGGGACTTCCCTGTCTTGACTCGTGACTTGACTCGGGACTTGAGGGCAATGAATTGAGACTGACTTGTGACTTGCTAAACAATGACTTTGTCCCACCTCTGCAAGAAGCCATTTGGAGACAGCTTTTTGGTGACTTCAAAAAAACAAACTAGGGCAGTGAAAGACGTGTCACTGTCCCACACTACAAGACAAAGGTATGTCTGTGGAATTAGAGGAATATTGGGATATTGAAATGAGTGCTTTTTCTTTCACTTTGATGAGTCAGATATAATTTTTAACCACTTTTACCAATGAAATTACATTTTTATAATCAGAATTATAACGTCAAAGTAGTCCCAAGACGTTTCACAGCTGGACAGTGTACGTCATGTTGTGGCACGTGTTAAAACGTCCTGTATGAATTTGAAAAGGGTTTCACCGACTCAGCATCCATGGAACCTGCAGCCAGCTACACGTGTTATCCACTTAGTGAAAGTATTGATGTTGGTGATATTGCAGAGAAGGTCCGCTCTTGAGGATTAGATTCTGACGTTGCAAAATGACAGTTGAAAGCCCGTTCTACATCTGCTCAGCCCGGACAGCATGTGCTGTTAGGGAATCTTCTTGCGGAGGAGAAGGCAGAAGATGTGCCTTGAATCAGACTTCCCTATGTGGATCAACTTGTTCGTGTGAGTCTGCCTTCTCTCACAGAAAATGATCCAAGTCCAGATCAACAATGACTGATGACCATAGTGCAACGACCTCCTATTCTAGTAGGCTACTACTAGAAACTAGCCTCTTCCCAGTGTCAAGTCTCCCACTACGGTAGGAAGAGATCTCCCGTTTGTCAGTTCTATGCATTTACTCCTGACCACCAGAAGGTGCTTTATGTTTGAATATTCAGAGGTGCACTGCCTTCGGAGATCTGATTCAGACATAACATTTATATTTCCTGGATTATAAATGTTTCATAATATTGTCAGTTATTGCTCAAAAGAGATACGATATGCTTTATCTCACAAAGGAGAAATTTACATGTCACATTTGGCATGGATAGAAACACTCAAGATTGTGCAAAAAGGGAGGAAATGTGCAAACATGTTAAATGCAGGATATATCATTTACAATAAAAATGCAATTTCAGGGTTTGCTTTAGTTTAAGCCTGTGGAACAAAGTTAAACATGGAAACAGAATGCTAGTAATGTGATGTCTAATGGTTGCGTGAGAAGTGTGACGGCTGTAAATGTGGGGTTTTGATGTTGATACAGGACGGGTAGACCTTAGGAAGTTTGCCGTTTAAAGAGTCCTTATATAGGAAAATCCCTCTATAACTTTGACAGTGGTTATCGATTACAACGTAAACATTGGTGGATCACTGTACACACGCGCTAACATACCTCAATTTGACCATTTAACCATAAACTAGATATATTTTTACACTAGTTCACATTCTAAAACAATTCTCAGGATCAGGAAACCCTGAGGAAGCGGACTTACCGACGAGCATGCGGTACTTGTGCGGGTGGCGGGCGTCCTCGATGATGGGGATGATGTTGGTGCGTTTCTTGGCCACGTTGAGGAGGTCTCGCCCCGATCGGTGAGAGAACTCTACGGCGTAGACCAGCCCCTCCTGTAGAGACACACGTCACATTCAAGTAGATCCTAAAACATCACTTGTTAACTTTAAAATATGACTACAGTAATGTGTCAATTATAATTAAGAGGAATATCTTTGTGTTCAATCAAATCATTTGGAATACTGTAAAAACAATGGAAATGTGGGACTAACCGGGCCGACGATGTCCGACACGTGGGACACTGTGGTTCCAGAGGCGGCCCCCAGGTACATGACTTTGGCCCCTGGTTTAATATGGATCTGGTCCACGCCTCCGAGGATGGCAGCTGCCAGCTTCGAGCGGAAAGGGTTCCACGCTCTGTACTCAATCTTTGTTTCTCCTTCCTACAGAACGACAAAAGTCAGACCAAAATTATGTTAACACTTCCAAATTGCTCTTCCAAAACTAAACTTAGTCAATTTGACTGCTTTTAGTTTTGGCCATCTTTGATATTCTGGACTTTTATGCATTTTATTCTTTATCATTTGTAAATGTTTTGAATTATCCTTTCATTTTGACATGCGAGTAGTTCGGCCTTTAATAAAAATTCAAAAAAGTTATTTTCAGTCACTTGGTGACCAACATTCTATGGCACTTAAAGCCCATTTTCTCCAAGGAGCTGGTCCTGAACTGGTCTTAAGCAGAGAACTTTGTTTTCCATCAGACCGTGGATATTAGTAAAAAGCTGCTTACTAGCTAGCTGTTAGCATCAAGTAGTCTTTCAACAAACTTTGCTTTTATATTCACCAATAATAGCACTTGGTAAGAGTGAGTTATGGAAAACGTGTGAGGGAATTTCTCAGAATTCCATGGATTTGAATGAAAGCAGTCAAAATAGCGGCTCTGGGAGTCGGGTCCACTGTGGTGAAGGAGGCCTACCTCCACACTCATCCTCTTCTCCCCGTACACGGACTCTCCCACCACCATGTTCTTGGTCACCAGAGCGTCCTCCTTCCCTCTGCAGATGAACACACCTACACACACAGACTTTAGTTAAGCTTGGGGGCTTCAGAAGCTAGAATTGCATTGGATCCCAAATATCTCAAGAACTGAACGTCATTGTTCTGAGCCACATTTCTACTAATCAATATGTTAAGCATCGTGAATATCTCAAGGACGACGTCACTGTTCTTATGCACACGATACACATCATAAAGAACTGGATGAGATCACTGCTGCCGACATATCTATATCTGGATACATAGTAAATGTCACATTCTCCAAACGTTGACAGACGTCACATCTAAGACACGTGTAGAACAAGTTGCTGGTACCTTCATGTCTGTGGGGCTCCACCAGGACTTTCCTTCCACCTCCGAAGCCTCCTCTCCCCCCGCGGCTGCCACCTCCTCTGCCCCCACGGCCCCTGGGAGTGCCTCTTCCTCCACCGCGCCCACGGAACCCACCACCGTCTGGAGACCTGAAACTGCCGCCTCCACCTCCTGCACAACACAAACACACACTTTACAACAGCCGTGGCTACAACAGGAGGGTCTCAGGGCAGTGGTGATGATCCAAGACTCAAACACATTTATGGACATTGGCCCGTTTATCACTTTACTTTTAAATACAGGAATTCAGTCACTTACTGAACTAAACCAACTGGCATGTAAGGGTTTATGTAATTATACGAACATTAAGAAGCAACAGTGGAAAACAACTATCATGTCTGCACTGGTGCACCTAATGTTAATTTCTACACACATTCTTGATGCTCGTCATTTAATCACATGTTTGATGCAGCGTATAAACCTCCATAGCTACTGGCCCTGATTATGTTCTCTCTGGGCTCCGGCCCCTCTCCTCTCACTGGTCACTTACCCCGTCCTCCTCTGAAGCCTCCTCGCCCTCTGTCTCCAAATCCTCCTCTGTCTCCATAACCACCTCTGCCTCCGAAGCCGCCGCGGCCTCCTCCTCTGGGACTGAACCCTGCGACACAAACATTTACAACCACATACCCACATCACACTAATACATTCTCAGTAAAAAAAAAAGGAAATCCCAAGAGTCGAGAAGAAACTTTCAAACAACAAATGTATCAAATAAAATCAATGTCAATAGTTTTTTTTTTTTACTCGTTTCCAGCTTTTCTCAGACAGATGTGAAAAAGGTGAACACAGGGTGCTCTTTCAAACAGTAGAAACCTGTATTCTAACAAAAGATGAAGACAGTAAACAAACCAGACCTTGTGTACAGTGTGTTACTCCGCTGTTAGACCCCATTTTAAAGCCCACAGTGTTTTACCATCTCCCCTGTCTGGGTACATACAGTGAACTACATGGTCGTCTTACTATAATGCGATTTAGTCCATATTGTGAAGCATTTCTAAAATACACGTGTATAGACCATTTTGCTTGTTAATCTCCAAACACTATATAAGTCATTGTCAAAAACTTTGCATCAAGGGTCTCTAAACTGTGGCTTGATAGCTACCAGCAGCTCCCCACCCCCTTTCAGGTAGCTCCCTTAAGCCTAAACACATGATTATGATCCCTATATAAATTATTAAAATAATGCAGGATTACGGTGTGATCTCCATGAGTGGCTGTAGATACTATAGACTTCACTTTCATTACAACTGCTTAGGAAGTAGGTCTGCCATTTTTAATTTTTTAATTAATTAAGTAGCTCTTCACTGGAAAAAAGGTTGGGGACACCTGCTCTACAAACTTCTCCCACATTTATCTCTGGACATAATTATCACACCCCATTTTAAAGCCCTCAACCTAGGAGTCAGTTATTCACAATCCCCCCCTCGGCAAGTCTAGTGAACTAAACTTGTGATTTACGCCATATTGAAAAAAAAAAGATACATTTTGGTGCACTACCGACATGATTATGGATTAGGTTTGCCCTCCATTAAAAACAATCTAGGTCGCCTTTTAAAAAAAAGACTTCTCCCTCACTTCTCAGCGCGGCCCATTGAGTTTGGATCTGAATTGTCTTCTCTATAAACCCATTTGGGGGGTTTAAATGGAAGCCCAGAACTCCATCTTGCAGTCAGCCAATCGCATAAACTCACCCCAGATGGAAAATCCTAACTTTTTAACCCAATAAAACGCAAGTTGAATTGGGGGTTTAGCTTGCAGAATTACGCACACACACAAACACGTGCGCGCCTGGCAAACCTCGCTTACAATCTGAACAATACCACACAACATTACGCACAGAAGTTGCAAAGATCGATGATGTGCGGGTAAGATACACGGAGATATTGTGATTTTAGCTCAGAGACTAGTGCAAATCTGCGACACGTGTTTGGTTGGAGTGCGTAACGAGGCTGTAGTTCCAGTTACGCGCGATATTTGGGTCGTTTCCTTCACACAGACAGCACAAAGGGGCTCAGTGCGGTGGTGAATGTGACCCGTGTGTGTGGAGCGGACTCACCTGGCCTCATGTCGGGATAATGTGGAGTTTGAGCAGGTTCTGGAGCGACGTGAGCCTTGTGTGCTTCTGTGTGCGCAAGTATAACACACGTGGTGACGGTCTGAGTCTGCGCACTGTGCGAAGCATGGAAGCGCAGGGACCAGAGTGAGAGAAGGCTGCCTCTGCTGTCCGGGAGGGGGAAGCGGACGAGGAAAAAGCTATAGGGGGCTTTAAGATTTCAAACCACACCACAACAGATGGGACAATGCCATTTCAAACGCAAACCTTCTCTCTAAGCAGTCTGGTTTATTCACTAGGTTTCACATGTGCGTGTTTGCATGCAGACTCGGAGGAGGAGCACAGGGACTGGCCTCCTGGGACTCTGAGGGACACAGGGACTGGCTTCCTACTGGGATACTGAGGAGCACAGGAATAGGCCGTCTCCTCGGACTCAGAGGAGCGCAGGGACTGGCCTCCTGAGGTGACTCTGAGAAGCACAGGGACTGGCCTCCTGAGGTGACTCTGAGAAGCACAGGGACTAGCCTCCTGTTGGGACTCTGAGGAGCACAGGTTCTGGCCTCCTGCTGCTCCCAGAGGCAGAACTAAACATGGGGAGGCAGCTAAAATCTGGAACAATCTTCCTGAAAATGTCAGACAGGCTTCTTCTCTGACAATGTTCTAATACAGGTAAAAATATTTTGCTACTTCTGGAGGATTTTTTCTTTACACTTTTCAATGTACTGTGATTGAAAATTATTAATGATTTTAATGCCTGCATCTTGTCTTGTTGAGCACTTTGAGTTGCACTGTGCTATACAAGTAAACTGTCACATTTTAAGGTCGGCTTTTTTTCAAGAAGAAAAGTGAAAATGAGAGGACAGCCCTCACTCAGCCAATCAGCTCTCTGCCAGAGAGATCAGAAAGAGACCAGAGAGAGACCAGAAAGAGACCAGAGAGAGACCAGAGAGAGACCAGAGAGAGAGACCAGAGAGAGACTAGAGAGAGACTAGAGAGAGACCAGAGAGAGACTAGAGATAGACTAGAGATAGACTAGAGAGAGACCAGAGAGAGACCAGAGAGAGACCAGAGAGAGACCAGAGAGAGACCAGAGAGAGACCAGAGAGAGACTAGAGAGAGACTAGAGAGAGACCAGAGAGAGACCAGAGAGAGACCAGAGAGAGACCAGAGAGAGACCAGAAAGAGAGACCAGAGAGAGACCAGAGAGAGAGAGACTAGAGAGAGATGTGACGGAGGCCAAGAATACATGCATGTGAAAATTAGTGATAGAAGCAAACTTTGAGAGCCAGGAACGAGATACATAGATTCTCCATGTTTGTGGTTTGAAAGTTTGGTACCCCAGCTTTAATTGACAACAGGCATAATGTAAAATGACCTATTCTGGCAGTTCAAATGAAACAGAATAAACGATTACATTTGTAAGCATTGAGCTGTTTTTGTGTGTTGAATAGATACAGGGGGTGGGAAATAAATCTAACCAACAAACTGTGAGCCGTGATCGACCCAGAATCAAAATCAGAATCATTTATTTTATTCTTGTTGCCACAGTAAAACAAAATATACAATAACAATAGATACACACAATGGCCATTTGATAGTGCAGTAGATCAAGTAACTGAATGCATATTATTCACACTTTTAGAACATTTTCTTCAATAATTTGTCTCCAAAAATACTAGTTTTTTTTTATCTTCATGTGGCTTACGCTTGACACGGATCTATAATCTGTGCATTGTCTGCCCCCTACAGGATGGCTGGGGAAACTGCAGCTCCATCACCACCATGGGAGACCAGAGAGCGTGACTAGAAAGAGACCAGAGAGAGACCAGAGAGAGACTAGAGAGAGACCAGAGATAGACCAGAGAAAGAGATCAGAGAGAGACTAGAGAGAGACCAGAGAGAGACCAGAGAGAGAGAGAACTTCATCCAGTGTCACACAAATAAATCAAAGAATTCAAACCTGTTACAGAATCACTGTGATATTTGGAAAATCACTTGACAAGCTATACATACACATATATATATACATACACATATGTTCATACATAAAAAAATAACAGTGAAACAAAATGAAATGAAATAAAATTAAAGGATTATACAACTCACTGTTAAAAGCCAGAGAATAAAAATGGGCCTAAGACAAGACTTGCGGTTTTTGCCTATTGCTCAGAGACTATAGACCCACGCTTTGACCAAAACTACAGAACCTGAAGATTTTGTTCTAAACCTAAAACACAGTCTAACCATTCCTTAAACAAAAGTACTGCTTTGCACTCTTCTTTCATTTCTGCAACACACTTTCTCTTTCTGCAACACACTTTCTCTTTCTGCAACACACTTTCTCTTTCTGCAACACACTTTCTCTTTCTGCAACACACTTTCTCCTGCTCACGCACAGTGTGTAATACATAACACACTTTTTTCATAAATGCAATCCTGAGTTATCATTGTGTGACAGAAAACACTAAGACACACACTTGAAACACTGACTTACAAAATGTGACACACATCAGACACAAACAGGCTTCAGTTTTGACATTTTCAGAACTTTGCAAGTTTGGAGGCAGGAAGAGCAAGAGAAAAGTGAAGAGGAAGACAAGGTCGAAGATATTTCTGATGACATTAGAGTGACTTTGGAGGATCATGTTGTTAGGATTTAGCAGACAGAGACGGATCGTGGTGTGCCAAACTCTGGAAGTTTATTTAAGTTTCTCTCAAGTTCCACTAGTTTACTCTGTTTCTTTCCCTCAGACAGAATAAAGGCAGTACACAGTTTATATAGTCATTGTCACGTCACACATCGAAAGACATACGTGTCACAAAGAGACAGTCACATCATAGTCATAACATGGAGTCCTTGTAGAGTCCTTGTAGAGTCCTGCACGTAGGCCATATTGCTATCTAATACTAATACCCTCCCCTTTGATCACATAATCACATGTGATCACTCAAATCGATCAATCAATAAAGTGGAAAAAGAAAAAAAAAAAAATCTAAAAAAACTTTAAAAAATTATTAAAAACAAAGAAAATGTATGCATTAAACTCATAATTATCAAAATCAATATCAGTGGATTTTATCCTCTATCCTGGAAAAAAATAAACAAACAAAAATAAATCAAAAATAAAAACAAACAAAAATAAAAACAAACAAAAATACTATTGGACACACAAGAACTCAGCAGATTCAGTCAAAACACAGACAAAAACGAGCTGAGTCTCAAATTTGAAGCTAATTTCACTTTTATTACTCTATACTTTTATTCTAATGCTAATTGTTTACACTACACTTCACTTATTTCACTGTATTATTTTCACTTTTCAATCTTAGACTGTGTACTTTACTTTCACTATTCACTATAGTTTAAAACTATTCTAATCTATTCACATAAATCTCTCTGTTCTGTGGTTTACACTCTAATTATCAGTGGCTTATTGTTAGTGGGATTTTGCTCCATGTCTATTCTACATTCTCAGGAATAAAACTGTGAACACAGTAAGGCAAATGGTCAACATTTACACTTCTATAGTGGTCAGTGATTTATTACTTTTTATTATCTAAAGATATTATTGTCAGGCAGTTTGGGATGAATGTACATCATTAATCAAATTAGTATTATCCTAATAGTAGCTAATTAGGTTTGGGGTTGGGGTCAGTTATTCTACAATGGTGTTTGTGCTGGAAACTTCTCAATATCTAAATATCTACTATTGTGTTTTTGTGCTATACACAAATACATCAAAATGCTTTTAAATGCTTTTGAATCTCTGTTGGTTCTAATCTATCTCATTGATCTAGGCATTAATCTAGGCTACACTCATATGGACTTTTTGCATAGTCAACATTCACCAATGTTTGAACACAAGTGAATTTGGCAAGTATCTAATAAAACTGTACATAAAACTGTAATGAACTTTATCTACTTTTGGAGTAAAGGTTTGTGAAATGGTCCCTTTACCATTTGATATTAGCACTGGCTACAAATAATCTCTATTTTTGAAAGCATCTATGGTTGATGCATTTATCTAATTCTATATTTCCTCTATTTTTTAACTCCAAAGCTCGGCTGCAGCTTGAGCAAAGGCATATTTCTAATTTGTGACTTCTGTCACTTTTAATGGCTGTAACATAACTCTGATTCTAATATTATAGCTGATCTATCAAAAGGATAACATTGTAGGGTACTATTTTAACTCTTATGTGGAAATGTGTTTATGAAAAACAAAGGAAGTCAAATTCTACTTTTTTACTACTATTTAACATCTACTAAAACGCTACAATACTTATACTTTATCATTTTCAAAGTTTTTGTCTGTCAGATGTCTGAATACTTAACATGTATATTGCATTTGGTCACAGTTGTGGTTATAGCAATAGCATCAGCAATAGACGTTTTCATTGGCTGGTTCTTGTTCTGCAAATGGCTGTGTCCAATAGATCATCAGATGTCCAGAAGCTAGGGACAAACAAAAACAAAAGAAAGAATCATGAGTATCTCTCTCATTTAGCACTCATCAATGTATGATTTCAAAAATATAAACATCACTCCCCAGTTTTTCTCTCCAAGGTCCTCAGATCCTCAGGGTCCTCAGGGTCCCCTGAGGGTGAGTCTCAGTCGTCATCAGGTCAGGTCATCTTGGACATCAGTAGGGTCCAAGCCATGGTTGGTCTCTCCAGTTGGACATCAGATCTCCAGATACAGTCTTTTCACTTGAAGCACATCAGGTCATTTGCGATGCACTTCTGGTCAATGGTGCAGTGTCTCAGTTCCTGTACACAGCTTGTTATGCAATAGTTACTCTCTATGGTTAAGTCACTTTGATTCTAATCCTAATCAATTTCTATTCATGCTGTTGCTAACGTCTCTCAGACAAAAGCAAGCGCAGTTTACTTCTCTAATTTGTGTTTTTATCAGATCTAATTCTCATCAATGTAATTACTTCACACAGTACAAAATCAACAAATCAAAAGTGTCAGGACAGAGGTCAATTATGTCCATGACAATATAGAATTCAAATGAACATTTCTGGTCTCAAAAAATACTGATTCAACTAAAGATTCAAGTGATAGACAATTAAAAATATGTGTTTACATTGGAGTAAACTTTTAAAATGCTTTTTTCTCATGTTCTGCTTTTTCATGTATCTATATGTAAATGTGAATGTGTGAGTGTATGAGTGTGTATGTGTGTGTGTGTGTGTGTGTATGAATTTTGGGGTTGTGTCTCAAGACTCCTCGAACCACCTGTAGGTGTCAAAAGTCACACTGTGGTGATGCAAACCAACTGGACACACTCTCAACTCCCTCTAGGTCTCTACCTGACGCTCCACCCATCACGTCTCCAGAAACCTCTCTTTCATGGCCCCGGTCTCTCTCCCACTTACTTCTGTAGTGGGGGGAGGGGCAAGGAGGTGGCATTTCCCTTTGCTCTTTGATCTGTGACCTGTGGCTGGGTGGGCTTTGCGCTGTCCAGTGTCCAGCAGTGACCCCTCCCACAGTGTGCCAGAGTCTGAAAAACAATCCTTGAAACAGCCAATTTAAAAAAACAATAGATATCAGTATGCGAATGAGATTGTTTTTCTCTCTGAAGTCAAAACAATTTGAGCGCTCTGGGTTTTCCCAAGCGCTATGTAAATAAAGATTACTTATTCTCTTACTAATGATGACATTTTAAAACCAGAAACTAAAGAAGTTATCAAAACAACAATTATACTCAAAACAAACAACCTTTTAAACTTTAAAACATGTATTATATACTTTTGTACTGTGTGATTAATTATCTATGCGTCCTTGGGTTTCTTGAAAGACGCCATGAAATGAAATTATGAAAAATCTCTATAAAAATGAACATTAATTTGTAAAAACATTTAAAACAAAACTTGAAATCAAACAAAAGATTTAGCTCCAGCTAAACTGGATTTGGTTCAATAAAACTCAATTGTGCGTCGGAGCTGCCTCCTCATGTCTCTGAGCAGCAGCAAGGTCACGCGTGTAGTCAAAACAAAAACAAAAGTCACCACTTGCATGTGAATTGGGTAGTTTTAACTTAATAATATAATACTTTTACAGCCTAATTCCCTCTTTCTTTTTTAGACGAAGTCTACAATCATTAATCACTTTTAACAGATTCTAATTTAAATGTTTGAAAAACGGCTTTTGTAACTAAAATAAAAAATACATGAAAAAATTCTCACAAACAGCTATGAAATATATCAGAGATGCAATAATGGACTCACAAAATAAGCAGCATATTTAAAAAGAAAAGCAAAGCTTTTTGTACTAATCTTTGGGTTTCAAAAACATACTAATTCAAAACTTCTATTCCCTAATGGTGTTTAAAAACGTTTAACTGTGTCTAACACAATGTTCAAATGGCAAATTTAGCAAATTTAACGGAATAACTACTATGAAAAGCCAAATTCCTAAAGCAGTAGCTCCCCTTTAAATCAGAGCAGCAGCTCAGCAGCAGCGAGGGCGGGGGGGTTCCTTTCACACAGACGCGCACACACAGGCAGAAAGATACAGAAGAATAACTTTCAAGATTACTTTGTTAAGCGAATATAACTGATGTTGTTCTTTATACTTTTGTCATCCAAATCTAGAAGTGATCACTTTCCACACTTGTAACAAAAGGCACTCTTGTCTTTAACGTACGCTTCTATTTTATCGAGGTAGCAAACTAATTTAAACTCAAAATCTCTTTCTAAAAAACAAAAACAACTGTTGGATACAACCCTCTCATAGCTCAACTGTAGATAAAACTCGGTAAAAAAATGTAAATAACTCACGAAAGCTCTCATAGCTCAACTTTAGATAAAACTCTGCATTCTCCGGTGAACTCTGTTCACTCCAAAAACAAAAACTCCCTTTTTCTGTATGTAATTTAAACCGTGATCACTGAAATATTGTTGCTTATGTACTTTTGTCATTTATCAGCCTGAAATTCGTCAATTTCAAAGCTTTTGTAACAAAGGCCTCCTTAACACGTTTCCCTTTTTAAAAATTGCTTTTATTATTACACCATGGTTTCACTTAGGCCTTTTCACTTATGGATCCTATACACTTTATGGCCAACACTTTTTGGATCCTATACACTTTATGGCCTTTTCACTTATGGATCCTTCACTCACTTTATGGCCTTTTCACTTATGGATCCTTCACTCACTTTATGGCCTTTTCACTTATGGATCCTTCACTCACTTTATGGCCTTTTCACTTATGGATCCTTCACTCACTTTATGGCCTTTTCACTTATGGATCCTTCACTCACTTTATGGCCTTTTCACTTATGGATCCTTCACTCACTTTATGGCCTTTTCACTTATGGATCCTTCACTCACTTTATGGCCTTTTCACTTATGGATCCTTCACACACTTTATGGCCTTTTCACTTATTTGAACACAATTTAGAGAGTTCGACAGACCTCAAAAACACACCCAAATTTAGCTAGTATCCAATTATGCAGACTTTACATATAAAAAGGTGTCTGCTTACCTTATTCTTGTCAAACAGGTGCATGCACGGGCTGTCCGAGAGGTCTGCCAACTCTTTTCCGCGTCGGAATCTTCAATTTAAAAAAAAAACAAAAGTGACAGAAGCGACAAGAAGCATCCAGGAACAGCTCTTCCAGCATGCTGGAATCTCCGCTCCCAGACACAGCATGCCGATCTCTCACGCAGAGGAAAAGAAACAGAGCAAGCTCCCTCAAAACAATCCAGAGAATGGCACACACTGAGCCGCGCATTCTCCACCAAATCTGTTAGGATTTAAGCAGACAGAGACGGATCGTGGTGTAGCCAAACTCTGGAAGTTTATTTAAGTTTCTCTCAAGTTCCACTGGTTTACTCTGTTTCTTTCTCTCAGACAGAATAAAGGCAGTACACAGTTTATATAGTCATTGTCACGTCACACATCGAAAGACATACGTGTCACAAAGAGACAGTCACATCATAGTCATAACATGGAGTCCTTGTAGAGTCCTTGTAGAGTCCTGCACGTAGGCCATATTGCTATCTAATACTAATCCATTTCAAACCCTTTTGTGTTTAAACCACGTGGTCTTACTCGGGCTTGTAAAAACTGTGTCCCCTTATTTTTATGAGCTTCTTGTTACTTAAAAAAATACTCATGCACGAGCATTAAATGTTTTTTCCTTTTTTTTTAAAGCCAGTTCGGATTCCATTAAAAATTGTAAATTAGTTTCAAACTTTAATACTTCACTTTGTTTCTCGTTCATGTGGAGAAAAGACCATTGTTTTATGTGTGTGTACTTGCGCCAATCATGTCTCAGATAAAACTGCCAAACAGTTATATCAAAGACATAATTGTCCTAATTGTTTCTAATTTGCTATTCTGGAAGAGATACATGTCATAAAAGATTTCATAAACTGTCTCCTACATCTTTGTTTTCAACCAATGAACAGTGTTGCGTCTATGTGGTATCAGAATTGATACAATTTACCTTTAGCCAAAATTCAGAAATGCTTTAAATCATTTTTCAACTTTTGTTAATGTAATGTATCTGTGGAATGAATTGTATAGTGAGGTAATGTTATTTATGGGGATATAAACTGAATGTACTGTGTACCAATGACAAGTCATTGGGACAAAGATGCTTGAACAATTGTTACAACAGAAAACGTATCAACACACTTTATGTCCGAAGGCACCGTAACACTCACACCATCTCCGGATCATCCGTTCGAACCGCTTACTCCATTAGTGAAGACAATTGGTGAATTCGTTTGCCTAGCATCCACGTATGTCCCAAATCATGGCTTCCGAGGCCGCAACCCTCATCCTCCGTCCTACTACCGCAGCAAGCCCTCCTCCGCCGCAAACACCGACGTCTCTCCACAAGATTCTGCAACGACATCTCATCCCCCCCACCACCCTGGTTCCGCCTCGCCTCCGTGGTTCCGCCCCGCCGCCCCCTTCATCCTTGCCGCCTTGCCGCCGTCTGCCCCGTTCCTCCTCTGGCCCCTGTCCTCCTCGGCCTCCTTCTTCCCCGTTCCTCACATTGCCGCCTCGTCTCCTTGTTCCTCCTCGGCCCCCTGTTACTCCTCTCTTCCTCCTTGTGCCTCCCTCGCCTCCCCTTCACTCCGTGTGCCTCCTTTCCCCTCCTCGTCCTCCTATCCGTCCTACCTCCGTCCATTTAATACCTGGCCAGTCCCTATGAATACCCCATCCATCAAGTTAAACCCTATCACCCAGATAATTACCCTATCTCCCACCCAAGTACACTATCACCCAGATAAGCCCTTATAATCCGAAATAAGTTCCCGATCCCTCAGGAAAAATAACCCACCTCCAACTTAAAACCATATCACCCATATAATACCCTATCACCCACCATTACCCGATCACCCATAGAATCCCCTTATTATCCAAATAAATACCCTATCAACATATAATACCTTATCTGAACATAATAATACCCTACCACCCTAGATAATACCTAGAATCATATAATACCCTTATCACCCATAGAGACCTTAGAATCCAATTATATACCTGATCAGTCAAGAGAAGACCGTATAATCCAGATAAATACCCTGATCTACCTATAGAAGTTACCTTATAAAAGCCAATAATACCCTATCACCCATATATATACCTTATAATCCATATAAAAACCTTAACCCAAAGAATCACTATCCCCATATAATACCTTATTAATCCATATAATACCCTATCACCCATATAATACCTTATAATCCAAATAAGACCGTATCACCCATATAATACCTTATAATCCATATAATACCCTAGTCACCCCATATAATACCTTAGAATCCAAAGAATACCTATCACCCATATTAATGTACCTTATAATCCAAATAATACCCTATGTCACCCATATAATACCCTATAAATCCAAATAAATACCCCTATCACCCATATAAATACCCCTATCCAGTCCATATAATACCTTATCACCCATATAATACCTATAATCCATAGTTAATACCCTATCACCCATATAATACCTTATATCCATATAATACCCTATCACCCATATAATACCTTATAATTCCAAATAATACCTTACCAATCCATATAATACCCTTATAATCCATGATAATACCCTATCACCCATATAATACCTTATAAGCCAAATAAATACCCTATCACCCATATAATACCTTATAATCCATATAATACCCTATCACCCATATAATACCTTATAATCCAATAATACCCTATCACCCATATAAAAATACCTTATAATCCAAATAATACCCTATCACCCATATAATACCTATATCCCTATAATACCAAATCCAATAATACCCTATCACCCAGTATAATACCTTGTAATCCAAATAAGACCTTATCACCCATATAATACCTTATAATCCAAATAATACCCTATCCACCCATGAATAATCCAAATAATAACCTTATCACCCATAGAATAGCCATAATCCAAATAATACCCTAGCACCCATATAAATACCTTATAATCCAAATAATACCCTATCACCATATAATACCTTTAGCATCCATAAATCCTAATATCCAAATAATACCCTATCACCCATATATTCCTGGATAAATCCAAAGTGAATACCCTATCACCCATATATTACCTATATCATACCTCTAATACCGTATCTACCTATAATACCTTTATTCATACAGAGAAGACCATCATAATACCCATACAAGACACATATTACCACATAACTATATTAACAGTTAATACCAGTCTACCACATTATACCTAGTAGTACCCCAGACCTACTCATGTACCCCGAGCCAATAATCAAAAGTACCAATCCAGACACACCGATCACCCTGATTATGTCCTGTATATCCCATAATACATCCCTACAACTCCCATCCTCCATATCCCATCACACCTATAATCCTACAATAACACTCAATTCCACTCAAACTATCAATACCCTCCAATCCTATCATCCCACTCCTAATCTACCTCACCTATTAATACCAAATTCAACCCATATCTATTCATCACTCATAATTCCTTAACTCATATCCTCCTTCCTCCTTCATTCCTCCATTCATTCCTCCTCTCTACACTTGCCTCCTCATCCGCCCTCCTCACTTCCCCTCCTCTTCCTCCTTTCATCCTCTTCCTCCTTCTTATCCTCTTCCTCCAACTAATCCTCTCCTCTATTCCTACTCTTTCTTCCTTTCCTCCTCTTCACTACCTCTGATTCCATCCGCTTCCTACCTTTTCCCCATCTTAACCTCCTTTTCCTCCTTACCTCCTCCCCTCACCCATCTTTCCTCCTATATCCATATCACCCTTTCAACCTTATAATCCCTAGTCATACCTTATCACCCATATCAATACCCTATCATCCATATAATACCTATCATCCATATAATACCCGATCACACATATAATACCTTATAATCCAAATATTACCCTATCACCCATATAATACCTATAATCCATAATAAATACCCTATCACCCATATAATACCTTATAATCCAAATAATTCCCTATCACCCATATAATACCTTAATCCAAATATACCCTATCACCCATATAATACCTATCACCAATAGTACCGAGCAACCATTAATACCTTATAAATCATAACACTCACAGTAATGTAATACTAAACGAATTAATACTAGTATAACACATTAATCAAAATAAATGTAACCATATTAGTATACCTTACGTATCAATAAAACAAATAATACAATATAACCTATACTAACATCCTATAACATATAACTTGTAACTATAATAATACCTTATATCCATATATACCTATCAACCCATATAATACCTTATAATCCAAATATAATCACCCATATAATACCTTATAATCCATATAATACCCCTATCACCCATATAATACCTTATAATCCAAAATAATACCCTATCACCCATATAATACCTTATATCCAAAATAATACCCTATCACCCATATCCATATAATACCCTATCACCCATATAATACCTTATATCCAAATAATACCCTATCACCCATATAATACCTCTTATAATCCAAATAATACCCTATACCCATATAATACCTTTATAATCCAAATATACCCTATCACCCATATAATACCTTATAATCCATATAATACCCGATCACCCATTAATACCTTATAATCCAAAATAATACCCTATCACCATATAATACCTTATATCCAAATAATACCCTATCACCCATATAATACCTTATAATCCACCCTATACCCATATAATACCTTATAATCCAAATAATACCCTATCACCCATATAATACCTTATAATCCATATAATACCCTATCCCATATAATATATAATCCAAATAATACCCTATCACCCATATAATACCTTATAATCCAAATAATACCCTATCACCCATATAATACCCATAATCCATATAACCCTATACCTATAATATAATCCATATAATACCCTATACCCATATAATACCTTATAATCCATATAATACCCTATCACCCATATAATACCTTATAATCCAAATAATACCCTATCACCCATATAATACCTTATAATGTCCATATAATACCCTATCCCCACGCATAGTCTATGCAGCCACTCAATAAACAGTAGGAGAGCATATAGTGGCTGCATAGTCTATGCCAGCCACTCAATAAACAGTAGGAGAGCATATAGTGGCTGCATAGTCTATGCAGCCACTCAATAATCAGCAACAGCCCTTCAGGTCACAGCAGCAGAGGTGGAGTAGCCTCTGGGTGGAGCAGGACGGGTCACAAGGTGGAGTAGCCGCTTGGTTTGGACCATTTTCTCTGCTCTAGTCCAAAGTAAAATGCTAAATGCTTCATTAGGATTTTTCAAAAAGTTAGCATTCCTCCAGTGGATTTTCACCTGATCCACTTGGTTCAGACCATGAGTCCTCTCTGCTCTGGTCTGGACCAGTGCAAAACCATGAACACTGTACTGCAGCAACATCAAAGCAAGAAAAATACAAATTGTAAAGCACTTAGGACTTGCAGCCGTTTCCAGCGCCTTAAACATGATGCGAGCAAACTTATGATGCTAATGCGTGATGTTGAAAACTTTTGGTTTGGCATAAACTTAGCTGTTATGTTCCACATCTTTGTCTCCAACAAACTCTAAATAATGGAGTCTGTCCATCTGTAAAATGTACTATTGTCCACGTAGTGTCTGCTTCTGCCTCAGCCGTCTTCTACCAGAAAGGAACAACACTTCTAGGCAGATACTATTGGAGCAGATGTGTCTCCTGCTGATCTCACAGTGGCAGAAAAAAAGAAAACACTATTTGATTTCAGTCCTGCTCCACCCAACGGCTACACCACCTCTGCAGCTATGAACAGAAGTGACTTTATTACTATTGTTAGTAACTTTGAAGATGTGTATTTATTTATTTGTTTGGATGGATGTGCTTCTGCTGCTGGACACCTGCATTTCTACTAAAGTGTCTAACTATCTTTGTATCTATCTAAAATGTTTGTGTGTATATATAAACTTGAACCCGTAGACGCACCGACAGCCTCTTCTCGGGCAGTTTTCCGGCGTTGAAGGAGAAGTAGTAGACGCCCGGGACGCGGCACAGGAACACGCCCGAGCTCACGTTCAGGTCTCTGCCGATGTTCACGTACTCTGAGTCAAAGCTGATGGGCCGGTGGTGGGGCAGTCCCGTCCCGGCCGCCCCCACGATGCTCTGAGTGCGCCCCACGGAGAAGGCACTGCGGGGGTCCTCCTCGGGCTCCTCTGGGTCCTCAGGCTCTGCGGGCCTGGATGGGCTGCTGGGACTGGGCTCTGGGCTGTGAGGGACTGACACAGACACACGATACAGAAGAGCTCTCATGGGTAAGGCCATACATCAGGGCTTCTAAGCAAGTCCTGTAGAGACTTTGAGTGTTTTTTAAAAAGCTTGTCTCATTTTTTATTGGAATGGACATTTACTTTCCAAATATATGTAAAACAAACGACAAAAAGACTAACAAGATACAAAAAATAAACAACAATACACTTCTCAAGTTGAACTAGTCCACAGGTGTCAAAGTCAAGGCCCGGGGGCCAGATCCGGCCTGCGAGACCATTTCCAGTGGCCCTTGAGATGATTTTAATTCCATGAGAAATGTTAAACCAACATGCAATTAGAAGTTAGTATTATTATTTTATGTTTTTTACAAGTCAATTAAATTTTTTCTTCAAAATTTGAAGAAGGATTTACCAATTTTCTTAGGAAAGAACTGCCCTCCCCACTTTTTGAACAAAACTCTGTGGTCTTATTGGACGAGCATGTGTCCCCAGAATGATTGACAGTTGGGAGGACCAATAGTCTTGATGATCCACCCAAAAGTAAAAAATCCTCCTGTATACCTTCAATATTTGGTCCAGTTTTGGTTCAGTCCACAGGAACTGAACTAATTCTAATCAGAAGAGAATATCAAATCTAGCTAATGTGAAACAAGTCATTTATTAAGATACCTTCATATTCCAAAAAAAAATGTAAACGTTTTTTTGTCCCCTGACCAGCCATTTTTTTCAGCCCTCAACCAATATAAGTTTGACACCCCTGGACTAGGCAAACACTCCAACCCCTCTAACTCATACAATACAAAGCACACACACACACACACACACACCCAAAACACAGGCCCAAATACTCTCTGACCCTACACCTGTCCCTCTCCAGCCTCAGTCCATTTCTTGTGCTTGTGCTTTGAATTCTTTGAGAACATTTAGCTTTAGCTTTAGCTTTAGCATTAGCTTATTTTATTTTTTTTACTTTTATAACTTGTCTGCACTTTGAGCCAAAGTAAATGTGTAGTTACTTACTTACTGGCAACCAAAATAATTCTGATTTTGATTCTGAAACTAATGAGCTGAAGACAGGGTGACATTATGAACCTTTTCACATTATTTTGACATCTTCTGAGATTTAGAATTCCGTTTTTTTTTTTTTTAAGATGGAACTCATAATTATCCAAATGAAAACAAACAAAGGCTTCATGTATGTCAAATGGAATTCCACAGATAGATAGATGGATACATAGAGTCCATAACATACATTAGTTTCATATGTTCCATTGTATTGCAGAATATTGTAGCTTTTCACAATATTCTAATTGCCGGTATAGGAGTTTCACCAGTATGAAGTAGGAAAATGAATTATGGTGGACCACAGAGAATAAGACACACTCACCCTGGCTGTCCTCTGTCCTCTGTGTGTCCTCTGTCCTGGTCGTGGGCCCGGCCTCCAGCTCGTTGTCCTGAGAAGAGTCGTAGTCAGAGGAGAGTCCCGGGTACAGGCTCGGGTAGATCAGGTACCTGAGGACACACAACCAGGACACACTGATCACAGGGTCTGAGGACAGAGATGATCCAGGGCACTCCACATTCAACCACGTTTATGGACATTGGTCGTCTCCCCCTTATGGACCAATTTGTGTGTAGTTTGTAGTGCTGCGTTTCTCAACCAGTGGGCTGCAGCAAGTTAGTGTGCCTTGAGATGTAGTTTGGTGTACCTTTGGAAATCACCCAATATCTCCTAATTGGCCAAAAAAATAATGTGAGAAGATTAGAAAAACTTTGTGTGCTTGTTTGATTTTCTGAAAAATACACATAAAGAGAATGACTTTTCAATGTTAATAAAAGCTGCAGAGTGTCATTTGAGACCTTCTCCAACTGCTCCCACTGATGTCTGCTGTCGTTGTGTCCTTGGGCAAGACACTTAACCCCACTTTGCCCGAAGTCCGAATAAAAATAGAAAATGAATGAATGAGTGTCATTTTCAGTTTCAGCTTGTACAGGTGTCACGGCTCAAAAAGGTTGTGGAACACTGGTGTAGTGTGTCGTGTGTAGCCGTAGAGTGTAGTGTGTAGTGTGTGTAGCTGTAGTGTGTGTAGCTGTAGTATGCAGTGTGTGTAGCTGTAGAGTGTAGTGTGTGTAGCTGTAGTATGCAGTGTGTGTAGCTGTAGAGTGTAGTGTGTGTAGCTGTAGAGTGTAGTGTGTGTATCTGTGGAGTGTAGTGTGTGTAGCTGTAGAGTGTAGTGTGTGTAGCTGTAGTGTGTATAGCTGTAGAGTGTAGTGTGTGTAGCTGTAGAGTGTAGTGTGTGTTGCTGTAGTGTGTAGTGTGTGGCTGTAGAGTGTAGTATGTGTGGCTGTAGAGTGTAGTGTGTGTAGCTGCAGAGTGCAGTGTGTGTAGCTGTAGTGTGTAGTGTGTGTAGCTGTAGAGTGTAGTGTGTGTAGCTGTAGAGTGTAGTGTGTGTTGCTGTAGTGTGTAGTGTGTGGCTGTAGAGTGTAGTATGTGTGGCTGTAGAGTGTAGTGTGTGTAGCTGTAGAGTGTAGTGTGTGTAGCTGTAGAGTGTAGTGTGTGTAGCTGTAGTGTGTAGTGTGTGTAGCTGTAGAGTGTAGTGAGTGTATAGCTGTAGTGTGTTGTGTGGTGTGTACCCGCTGAAGGTGGTGTAGTGCGCCGTGTTGCTGTACAGTGCGTAGCGTGGGTCGCCGTGGAGACGCAGCCAAACGGTGTCCCCAAAGTCCAGCTGCAGCATCACGCTTTGGCTCTGCATCTGCAACAATCAGGTCCTCATCAAACCCTCATCAGGTCCTCCTCCGGCCCTCATCAGTCCCTCATCAGACCCTTATCAGGTCCTCATCAGGCCCTCATCCGGCCCTCATCAGGTCCTCATGAGGTCATCATCAGGCCCTCACCAAGCCCTCATCAGATTCTCCACAGGTGCTCATCAGGTGCTCATCAGGTCCTCATCAGGCGTTCATCAGGTCCTCATCAGGCCCTCATCAGGCCCTCATCAGTGTTCTGGGACATTCTATGAGGCCTATGCAGTAAGTTTACACTGGAGGCCCCCGTTTCAGAGGGACTCACGGGAGACCAAAGCGTCCCATATGCTCCTAGACCCTGAGCTTGGTGTACATTCTCATTGAATGCCAGCCTATTTCAGAACAGGTACTCCCACAGTGCCAGCCATTTCTGATGATTTTTACTGATTTTTCAAGACCCACAGAATATTGTGTACTATGACTATCTGAAATCCGACACCAGATTCTAAAAGAATGGACTGTCTACTTTCCTCAGCAAAAATAATTTTGTTTATAGCTTTTTTCGTTCCCCTGTAATCTTCCGTCGAGTAGAGGGAAGTTTTACTGAAATCACCAGAAATCACCAGAAAGTTGAGAAAAAAGAGGCACAACATGTGCACCTACATGTTTTCAAACCATTCAGAGAGCAATGCTGCCACCTGCTGGCTCGATAAAATATGGTCTCAAGTCATCCCCATACATATTAGATACAATAGACATCTGGGAACGTGAAAATAGCGAAAAAGGCAATTGACGGATTAATGCGTCAATGGCACACGACGTTACTATTTGCTTTGACGTATTTGTGCGTCAATGGGACACAATGAGTTAAAGTAATGTGTGGAGTCATCTCAGCAGCTATAAAGACCGACAGTCTCTGTGTCTGCTGTCTATTGTCTTTTTCTTTGTACCCAGACTTACGATGTGTTCTGTCTTATATTTTAAACATTTCTTAATTACTGTATGTTTAAGCAGAGTCGGATCAGTTAGCCAATCAACAGCTTTGTAAAGTCCTCTGAAAAAACTACTCCTGATTCAGGGTGATACAAAAATACATTGAATTGAATTGTGCGGAGGAACCAAGTCAAGCCAGAAAGATAAGTTCCCACAGATGGATAAGTTCCCACAGATGGATTAGTTCCCACAGATGGATAGTTCCCACAGATGGATAAGTTCCCACAGATGGATTAGTTCCCACAGATGGATAGTTCCCACAGATGGATAAGTTCCCACAGATGGATAAGTTCCCACAGATGGATAAGTTCCCACAGATGGATTAGTTCCCACAGATGGATAAGTTCCCACAGATGGATAAGTTCCCACAGATGGATTAGTTCCCACAGATGGATAAGTTCCCACAGATGGATAAGTTCCCACAGATGGATAAGTTCCCACAGATGGATAGTTCCCACAGATGGATAGTTCCCACAGATGGATAGTTCCCACAGATGGATAGTTCCCACAGATGGATAGTTCCCACAGATGGATAGTTCCCACAGATGGATTAGTTCCCACAGATGGATAGTTCCCACAGATGGATTAGTTCCCACAGATGGATAAGTTCCCACAGATGGATTAGTTCCCACAGATGGATAAGTTCCCACAGATGGATAGTTCCCACAGATGGATAAGTTCCCACAGATGGATAGTTCCCACAGATGGATAAGGTCCCACAGATGGATAGTTCCCACAGATGGATAGTTCCCACAGATGGATTAGTTCCCACAGATGGATAAGTTCCCACAGATGGATAAGTTCCCACAGATGGATAAGTTCCCACAGATGGATAAGTTCCCACAGATGGATAAGTTCCCACAGATGGATTAGTTCCCACAGATGGATAAGTTCCCACAGATGGATAAGTTCCCACAGATGGATTAGTTCCCACAGATGGATAAGTTCCCACAGATGGATAGTTCCCACAGATGGATAGTTCCCACAGATGGATTAGTTCCCACAGATGGATAGTTCCCACAGATGGATTAGTTCCCACAGATGGATAAGTTCCCACAGATGGATTAGTTCCCACAGATGGATTAGTTCCCACAGATGGATAAGTTCCCACAGATGGATAAGTTCCCACAGATGGATAAGTTCCCACAGATGGATTAGTTCCCACAGATGGATAAGTTCCCACAGATGGATAAGTTCCCACAGATGGATAAGTTCCCACAGATGGATAAGTTCCCACAGATGGATAAGTTCCCACAGATGGATAAGTTCCCACAGATGGATAAGTTCCCACAGATGGATAAGTTCCCACAGATGGATTAGTTCCCACAGATGGATAGTTCCCACAGATGGATAGTTCCCACAGATGGATAGTTCCCACAGATGGATAAGTTCCCATAGATGGATGAGTTCCCACAGATGGATAGTTCCCACAGATGGATTAGTTCCCACAGATGGATAAGTTCCCACAGATGGATAAGTTCCCACAGATGGATAAGTTCCCACAGATGGATTAGTTCCCACAGATGGATTAGTTCCCACAGATGGATAGTTCCCACAGATGGATAGTTCCCACAGATGGATTAGTTCCCACAGATGGATAAGTTCCCACAGATGGATAAGTTCCCACAGATGGATTAGTTCCCACAGATGGATAAGTTCCCACAGATGGATAAGTTCCCACAGATGGATAGTTCCCACAGATGGATTAGTTCCCACAGATGGATAGTTCCCACAGATGGATTAGTTCCCACAGATGGATAGTTCCCACAGATGGATTAGTTCCCACAGATGGATAAGTTCCCACAGATGGATTAGTTCCCACAGATGGATAAGTTCCCACAGATGGATAAGTTCCCACAGATGGATAAGTTCCCACAGATGGATTAGTTCCCACAGATGGATAAGTTCCCACAGATGGATAAGTTCCCACAGATGGATTAGTTCCCACAGATGGATAAGTTCCCACAGATGGATAAGTTCCCACAGATGGATAAGTTCCCACAGATGGATAAGTTCCCACAGATGGATGATAGTTCCCACAGATGGATAAGTTCCCACAGATGGATAGTTCCCACAGATGGATAGTTCCCACAGATGGATAGTTCCCACAGATGGATAGTTCCCACAGATGGATAGTTCCCACAGATGGATAGTTCCCACAGATGGATTAGTTCCCACAGATGGATAAGTTCCCACAGATGGATAAGTTCCCACAGATGGATAAGTTCCCACAGATGGATTAGTTCCCACAGATGGATTAGTTCCCACAGATGGATAGTTCCCACAGATGGATAGTTCCCACAGATGGATAAGTTCCCACAGATGGATTAGTTCCCACAGATGGATAGTTCCCACAGATGGATAGTTCCCACAGATGGATAGTTCCCACAGATGGATAGTTCCCACAGATGGATAAGTTCCCACAGATGGATAAGTTCCCACAGATGGATTAGTTCCCACAGATGGATAGTTCCCACAGATGGATAGTTCCCACAGATGGATAGTTCCCACAGATGGATAGTTCCCACAGATGGATAAGTTCCCACAAATGGATAAGTTCCCACAGATGGATTAGTTCCCACAGATGGATAGTTCCCACAGATGGATAGTTCCCACAGATGGATTAGTTCCCACAGATGGATAAGTTCCCACAGATGGATAAGTTCCCACAGATGGATAAGTTCCCACAGATGGATTAGTTCCCACAGATGGATAAGTTCCCACAGATGGATAAGTTCCCACAGATGGATAGTTCCCACAGATGGATAGTTCCCACAGATGGATAAGTTCCCACAGATGGATTAGTTCCCACAGATGGATAGTTCCCACAGATGGATAGTTCCCACAGATGGATAAGTTCCCACAGATGGATAAGTTCCCACAGATGGATTAGTTCCCACAGATGGATAAGTTCCCACAGATGGATAAGTTCCCACAGATGGATAGTTCCCACAGATGGATAGTTCCCACACTGGTCAGACAGAGACATAGGGACTGGTACCTTGCGCTCGTCCGTGTTGCCCTCGTCGTACACGATGGTCTGCACCTGGTTGCGGTTCTTCATGAGCATGACGGACAGCTCTTTGTGGGGGAACTTGCCCACAGTGAAGCTGAAGTAGTAGGCTCCTGGGACCCTGCAGGTGAAAAGGCCTGTGTCCTTCTGGAAGTCTCCGCCCACGTCCACACTCACCTGTTAGAAGGTAGACAGAGTCAGCCGAGCTCTCCACATCTGAGGTTCCTGCAACATCACTACAGCCACAACTGAACCACAACTGTAAGTATGTTCCTTTTGGTTTAGAGACAGAGACAGAGTAGGGACATGTGGACAGAGACAGAGTAGGGACATGTCGACAGAGACAGACCTGGTCGAAGGTGACAGCCAGGTGGTCGCCTCCCCCCTCCATGGAGCTGGAGCGTGAGGCGGAGAAGGCCGAACGCAGGCTCACGTCTGAGCACAGTCTGGAGAAGGCCTGAGAGGGGAGGGGCCACAGGAGCATCAGGCCAATCAGTACGCAGCACAGCTGGCCAATCCTCCTATTGTGTTCCGCTGACATCTTCACTGTGGACACAAGTTGGACACATGTTTAGAAAGTGAGAAACTTTTAGTTTTGTCGGTTTTGTCACACGGTGCACATGCAGTGACAGTAAAGCCCTGTTCACACCAGTTTCTCTGGCGGCAGAGGAAGCGTTTGCAGCAACAACTAATAACACCTAATCACTGATGACAAGGATGGAAACAGCTCGATCTTTGGGCCGAACAGGCGTCCGCAACCCATCAGAGAGAAGCACAGTGTGCTGGGGTCACAAGTCAGAGCAGGAAGAGGGAGACACTTCAAAATGCCAAAAACCGCCAAACCAGGAGTAAACCAGGAGTAAACCAGGAGTAAAGTTGGCCAAAATGGCCAGTTGAAAGCCAACTCACACCTCCGGGAGAGCTTCTCCCAGGACTTGAAGGAGGAGGGGGACATTGAGTCTGAGTGGACCATGTTCTCCATCTCTACCATTGATGCGGCAGCTCGTAGCTGTGGTCGCAGGGTTTCTGATAGTAAGGGATGCCGTCAGGCTGAAGAAGGAGTCCTATCGAGCCATGATGGAATGTGGTGGAAGGAATGCTTCGAGGTTCTCCTAAATCCTCTTGTCACGTCCTCCATCCAGAAGGCAGAGGCTGAAGATGTGGGGGCAGATACCTCTATCTCCCTGGTTGAAGTCACCAAGGTGGTTGGCAGCCTCCTTGGTGGCAAGGCTCTGGGAGTGGATGAGATCCGTCCTGACTCTAAAGTCTCTGGATGTTGTAGGACTGTCTTGGCTTGGTCTGCAACATCGCGTGGCGATCGGGGGCGGTGCCAATGAAGTGGCCGACCGGGGTGGTGGTCGCTCTCTACAAGAAGGAAGAAGGGGGACCGGAGGGTGTGTTCCAATAATGGTGACACTGCTCAGTCTCCCCGGTAAGGTCTACCCCAAGGTACCGGAGAGGAGACCAGGCACAGCCAAAGACAGGAGGGGGTCCGGTTCGGAGACTGCACTGTGCTTCTGCAGGTTTCAGCTTCCTCCTGCAGCATTTTGAAGATATCTCTTCCACTCAGAAAATACATCTTTGCTGCAATCCATGAATAGGAAACAGCATCAGAGACCCCCCACGGAGAGGGGCTGCGACCGTCCATCTGGACCCAGCAGTGAAGCCACTTTGTTCCTGCTCTCTGAAGACAGTTTCACCTCTGAATACATGTTTATACTCAGTTACATCTGTCACATGTTTGCATACAAAATCAGCCAACATTTCTAAGATATAGAAAATAAAATTAGTGATAAAAATAATTACATTTTTATATGTATGCAGATTTCTACTATGCCTTACTCTATTCTCTAGCTCTCTACTTTTGACTGTTTGCACCTAGAGCCAAAGCAATTTCTTGCTTGATGACTTCCTGTTACTTACATGGTAATAAAAAATTATCTGATTCAGATTCTTGACCTCTGAATACATGTTTATACTCAGTTACATCTGTGATATGTTAGTGAAATATGAACCAACTCAGACTCTGAGGAGCACAGGGACAGGCCTCCTGCTGGGACTCTGAGGAGCACAGGGACAGGCCTCCTGCTGGGACTCTGAGGAGCACAGGGACAGGCCTCCTGCTGGGACTCTGAGGAGCACAGGGACTGGCCTCCTGCTGGGACTCTGAGGAGCACAGGGACAGGCCTCCTGCTGGGACTCTGAGGAGCACAGGGACTGGCACACATGTACACACACGCACACACACACACACACACACACACACACACACACACATGCACACACTCCTTCTCTTTAGCCGCCAAACTCTCTGAGCTCTGACTCCCCTGTACCCACAGTGAAGGGGCTGGAAACATTATGGTTTGGGATTGTGACATCACTGACTGCACGACAATGACAATCCAAAACACCAAAAGTCTCTGTAAGAAGCTTTCCCAGGTCCTGGAGCAGCCACAAGTTCTGGAAACAACCTAACTACTAGCTCCAGTGTGTGTAAACTGGTGAACTGGACGTCTGTCATTGTCAACAAAGGATACATTACAATACTGTACAATAAGTCACTTTAAGACACCTTGAGGTCACTTGCACTAGGACTGAAAAAAAAAACCTGCACTACTATTGCCACTGTTTCTTAATTGCCACTTTTATTGTACATAACACTGTATATCCTGCATTTAACATGCTTGCACACTTCTTTCTTTGCACTTTTTTTTTCTTCTTGAGTGATTCTATCCATGCCAGATGTGACATGTACATTTCTCCTGTGTGAGATCAATAAAGTCTATCTTATCTTATCTTACAAAGTATTCATCATCATCATCAAACTTTGTATTACTGACTCATGGTCCAGGATAAGACAAAAACATAACACACATTGGGTGTTTTTGTTTTTGGCCAAATTCTTATTTTCTACAACATTATACATATAAATGGATGTAACCTCACAGTTCAAATGCATTCACTGTATATCCACTGCTTACAGATGAGAAAAACACATGAGAACTAAATGTTACTAATGCCACAGGGTTGTAAAGGATCAAAACCCAATAAAGTCTCGCAGGTTAGTATGAGCTCCCATGGCACGCTATACCTCATTTTAAAGCATATTCTCTCCAGGGAAACCACCTCATACATTTACTCTAACCGAAATAACTCTACATTTTAAAGTAAATCAACAGTCAAAAGTACTTCTTTGCAAGTCATGTTTCAATCCAAAAAACATTGTACTCATTGTGATCAGAGATAGGAACACTGAGCTAGATTAGAGGAGAAAAGTACATCTCGACCTGGAACTCATGTGATCATTGGACAGTCAACTCTCTGGTCCCCGTCTCGGAGCGCCTCCTGGTTCCTCATGCACATAATTGATATTTAGCTCAAACGGTGTTGCAAATTAGAGCTGTATCTCCAAACGGGTCCAAACCAGGTCACTCCGCTCGCATCAAGCTGAACTGACGTCCTTTAAATAGACAACAGTTTACAACAACACAGGCCGACACTCAGAGGTTATTTTTAGATCTGCATCCGTGTGCGCGATCTGGAACTGAGACAAGACTCCAAAACGACTCAAGCTGCTCTCCCCATTCTAACTCTGTGAGCATGAAACACAAAACTCAAGGTCACTATTGCTGCGGCTTGTGTGCGTTTATAATTCACCACGGCTGCCCTGGGTCAGACTGGCAGAGGTGAGGCTGATCGTTTTGGGCCCTAGCTCTGCCACCACCGGGAACCAGAAAGAATCAGATAACTGCCTTTGAAAGTGGCAAAAAGTACTTTGTGGTAATCTATTGTATACTGAGACAGAGGTCTGAGTCTGTATGTATACTGAGACAGAGAGGTCTGAGTCTGTATGTATACTGAGACAGAGGACTGAGTCTGTATGTATACTGAGACAGAGGTCTGAGTCTGTATGTATACTGAGACAGAGGTCTGAGTCTGTATGTATACTGAGACAGAGGTCTGAGTCTGTATGTATACTGAGACAGGTCTGAGTCTGTATGTATACTGAGACAGAGGTCTGAGTCTGTATGTATACTGAGACAGAGGTCTGAGTCTGTATGTATACTGAGACAGGTCTGAGTCTGTATGTATACTGAGACAGAGGTCTGAGTCTGTATGTATACTGAGACAGAGGTCTGAGTCTGTATGTATACTGAGACAGGTCTGAGTCTGTATGTATACTGAGACAGGTCTGAGTCTGTATGTATACTGAGACAGGTCTGAGTCTGTATGTATACTGAGACAGGTCTGAGTCTGTATGTATACTGAGACAGAGGTCTGAGTCTGTATGTATACTGAGACAGAGGTCTGAGTCTGTATGTATACTGAGACAGGTCTGAGTCTGTATGTATACTGAGACAGAGGTCTGAGTCTGTATGTATACTGAGACAGGGGTCTGAGTCTGTATGTATACTGAGACAGAGGTCTGAGTCTGTATGTATACTGAGACAGAGGACTGAGTCTGTATGTATACTGAGACAGAGGTCTGAGTCTGTATGTATACTGAGACAGGTCTGAGTCTGTATGTATACTGAGACAGAGGTCTGAGTCTGTATGTATACTGAGACAGAGGTCTGAGTCTGTATGTATACTGAGACAGAGGTCTGAGTCTGTATGTATACTGAGACAGAGGACTGAGTCTGTATGTATACTGAGACAGGACTGAGTCTGTATGTATACTGAGACAGAGGACTGAGTCTGTATGTATACTGAGACAGGACTGAGTCTGTATGTATACTGAGACAGAGGACTGAGTCTGTATGTATACTGAGACAGAGGTCTGAGTCTGTATGTATACTGAGACAGGACTGAGTCTGTATGTATACTGAGACAGAGGACTGAGTCTGTATGTATACTGAGACAGGTCTGAGTCTAAATGTAGAAAATTCATTCTGTCTTCTTATGTTTATGGCTTTTCTTCTTATTAGAAGAACCTAAAAGCCACAGGTCTGAGTCTGTATGTATACTGAGACAGGTCTGAGTCTGTATGTATACTGAGACAGGTCTGAGTCTGTATGTATACTGAGACAGAGGTCTGAATCTGTATGTATACTGAGACAGAGGTCTAAGTCTGTATGTATACTGAGACAGAGGTCTGGGTCTGTATGTATACTGAGACAGGACTGAGTCTGTATGTATACTGAGACAGAGGTCTGAGTCTGTATGTATACTGAGACAGAGGTCTGAGTCTGTATGTATACTGAGACAGAGGTCTGAGTCTGTATGTATACTGAGACAGGTCTGAGTCTGTATGTATACTGAGACAGAGGTCTGAGTCTGTATGTATACTGAGACAGAGGTCTGAGTCTGTATGTATACTGAGACAGGTCTGAGTCTGTATGTATACTGAGACAGAGGTCTGAGTCTGTATGTATACTGAGACAGGTCTGAGTCTGTATGTATACTGAGACAGGTCTGAGTCTGTATGTATACTGAGACAGGTCTGAGTCTGTATGTATACTGAGACAGAGGTCTGAGTCTGTATGTATACTGAGACAGAGGTCTGAGTCTGTATGTATACTGAGACAGGTCTGAGTCTGT